AATTAAAAGAAAAGGAGATTAAAAGATGAAGTTGCCCTGGTGGAGTGAGGACAAGCCCCTTCCATAAACACGAGAGCCCACATATTCCCATTTTATTTATCTCACAGCTCAAACCCAGCACTGTGGTCTGGTGTGTCAACACCATTTGAAAATGTAATGCCCCACATCCATAATGTAATTCATTCATTCAGTCTTCTCTTTCTTTCTTCTCCTCTTCCCTCTCTTTTTTTTCTATTTTTTTTCCCCTTTTTTTGCATGTGTAAAGACAATTATTTAAGTTCTCTGCAGGGTTCAGGAAAGAAAGAGAATTATTTTCACTATAGCAGTGTTTGCAACCATACTGGAAAAATGAAATATGCTTGAAGTAGCTAGAGAAATACTCTAACACACACTCACATGCACACACACTCACATGCACACACACATACACACACAGAAAGAAGATCTGGCCAAGGACTCCCACACAGTACCTGAATTTTATTCAGCCTAGGCCTTGGTTGTGTGGTTTTAGGTTTCCCTCTACATGACTCTAGGTGGATTGGATGTGGTGTAAGGGAAAGAGAGAGGTCGAAGATGACACCTAGATTTGCAACTTGAGCAACTGGGTAGAGAGTGGTGCTATTTATGACATGGCATTACTCATGAGTGATTGGGGTAGGGAGCTGAAAATCAAGATTCCATTCTGAGCTTATGGTAAGTAGGCAGTGGGCAATATAAGTCAGGAACTCCTGCAGGAGGTTAGAGCTATAGATAATAACAAAACCACAATGAAAAAATAACCAAGAAATTTAAGTGGACTGCCAATCTAATTAAACAACCTCTGTATTCTCTTCTCAAGAGGTAGCTGAGAGACTTATAAAACATTTTTGAGTCATTTAATCTTTGCGTTAATCTGTCGATCACTGCCATTAAGTGATCATGTATGTGTAATTTCTGTTTTGTGTTTAAGCTGGATAATGCAGATGAACAAGCAGCCCAGATCAGAAGGGAACTTGATGGTCGCCTGCAGTTGGCAGAGAAAATGGCAAAGGTAAATTATTAATTTACACATATTGTACCACATTTGTTTCTTTGCTTAGAAATCTGTGGGCTGAAAGAGTGTTTTGTATAGATAAAGCCAGCAGAAGAGCCAGGCATGATGGTGTGTGCCCATAGCCTCAGCTACTCAGAAGGCTGAGGCAGAAGGATCCCTTGAGCCCAGGAGTTGGAGGCTGTGGTGTGCTGTTTGCACCTCTGCACCCTAGCCTGGGTGACAGAGCAAGACCCTGTCACTCACTCACACACACAGACACACACACACACACACACACAAATCCAGCATAATATTCTCTTCCACATGTATACCTCTTAATCCCAAATATCTGAATGCATGTTATCTAAATGGAACATAGTATCCACGTTACATATCCATCCTCAATATGTCAACTGTTTAAATTCAGCGATAACTTTTGTAGGTTTTTCTGAAAGCAATGCCTGAATTTCTCAGACTACTAGATCTAGAAGAGTTTTAATGTTGCAACTAAGTAAAATATAATCAAGGAGAAAAATCTCCTCCCCAAGAAATCATACAATACATTCCAAAGTATCCAGCATGGCTTTTGGCACATACTGATAACAACTAATATTTGATTGAATGAGTAAATGCATGAAAAATGTAATTTGAAGTATCTAGTATAGAGTCTTGTAGATAAAGTATGTTCAATGTAATATCACAGATTCTAATTTTTGCAATCACTGTGTTTTTATGAGCAGAAATAGATTTCAAACAAAAGCCACAAATTTTGTTTTAATACTTTAGGTTTTTAGAGAGAACCTAATGGTCTAAATCATTCTTTAGTGGATTGATGGGTTAATTTACTTCAGCGGTATAAAATTTTAGTCCTTTCCAATGGAATTGCAGGGATAATGCTATTGATTGCTCTGAGTGTTAAGATTTTCTCCCTTTCTGCCAAGCAAAAGCTTTGAATATTTGATTGATAGTCTGTCCCTCTCCCCCCCACTTCATATAACATGTATACAGTAAAATACACACGTCTTTAGTTTACAGCTGGATGAATGTATGTATATACACCCTGTATAACCACTTCCCAATTAAGATTGTGAGCTCTTCCAACATGCAAGAAGATACATCTCATAATTTCAACAATTAAATTACTTTTTCAAATACAAAAACTATGTTAGAAAAAATTGAGAAATTAGAGATTAATAATGAAATAGAAAAAAAATGAGAGAAATTAGGGAAAAAGAATGACAGTAAATTGTGAGAACCAAGGCAGAGATGTATGAGGAAGAATCTCTAGACGAATGAAGCTGTACCCTGCTATGAATACAGGGCAGTGGTTGAAAGGACAACATGCCTATTGTTGTCCTCTGGATATCCAGAGAGATGCTGGATCATTCTAGAGTTTGAATGTGGACTCCATAGGATAGAAATCAAGCAGTTTGATGCTATTATAAGCTTTAGAGGGGAAAATGTTTTAGTCAAAATCCTAGCCTGGTATTTAACCTGGCTGGAAGGGCATTTGCTTTTCTTACACCTGAGGCTAAGAGAGAATCCAGGGAGATGTGCCTGACAGCATGTGGCAGGACACTGGACCTGTGCTCAGCATCTGTAAGTTGCACGCTTATATATAGATTGCTGTGAGATGGGGGACGTTGTCCTAAATTAGACTTGCTCCTCCAAAGGCCTGGCTGAATATGTAATACTTTAGAATAAAGTTTAAGTGGTTTTCTGAAGAGTTATGCGACAGGAAGGAAAGCCTCAGATGTTCCCAAGTTCGTGTTTAAGAAGGAGAATGCATGTTGTTAACCCCTGGGCTGAGTCAGAAGACAGGGTCAAGGCTTCTCCTTGAGGGGACCCCACCGATTTCATCAGAGATGTTGATAAAGTGGAAAAACTGTGAAGAAAGAAATGAAGCCGATGGGGTTGGAAGGAAAAACATACCTCCCAAAATAGGATACCTTTTGGTGAAAATACTTACGTAGCAGATGCAGGTTTCATTGCTTTCCACTTCATTGTCACCCAGCAGAAGCCATCTTAATGAAATATTTAAAAGGCTAATGGCAATTTACTGACCTTATTGCATTATATCCCTACAATAATCCTGTGAACCTACAAGGACAGATGATATCATGAATCTAATTTTATAGAAGAGGAGATTGAAGCTTAGGGAAGATTACTTCCTTAACCAAGATGACGTAACGAACGAGTAACTGAGGCAGCCTCAAACCCGGCCTTGCCTCCAGAGCCTGGGCTGGCTCTTTTCCCCCTGCTGCCTCTGCAGTCCGATAAATCTGGGAGTGTGGTTTGTTAATAGGTATTAGTTGGCAACCAGTACAACCCTCTTCTACATTTCACAAAATAACACAATATAAATAACAGTAAAACCATAGGGCAGAAATGTCTGTTTCAAGGGCCAGAAATATTGCCTTTAGTATTTTATACGAGGGATAATCAGGAAATAGAGAGAAAAAAATGTGGGTCGGGCCAGAAAGACCTGTGGTCAAATCCATGATTGCTATTTCCTAGATTTATAATAGCAGTCATGTTATTTAACATTTTTGAACCTCATTTTTTTCCTATCCATAAATTCATTGGACAAATATTTATTGAACACCCACTAATACAGCCAACCATTGTCTTAGGTGCTGACAAAAACATTCCTGGCAGGCCCTGGTGGAGCTTCCCTTTGATTTGTGGGAGCCCTACGATAAGCAGTAAGCAGGCCATTTAACTCAACTGTGAAGGGTGATCACTGCTGCTTAGAAAATAGATCAGAGCAAGCGGGATCAAGAGTGTGAGAGAGAGTGGTGGGCGGTTACAGTTTTCAGTCAAGTGATCAGTTATCAGGAAATCCTTTTGCCTGTAACTTCAAAGTATTTCCAGAATGTGATAGTTGTTTCCATCCTCCCCTTTCTACTGTGGTCTAGTCATCATTGCCTCTAACCTGGATAATTCTGTCCTTGTTG